CAAGGAGTCAGGTTTTGGGCTTCCATGAAAGCTAGCTGCCAATTCCTTGATGCAACATGTGACTAATAATATGTGTCAAGGCTGTTAAGCATCAAAATATGTAAGCAATAATGAGAGATGTAGCAACAGTAGGGCCAGAAGCAGGTCATCTAATCACAGACAGACAGGAAGTTAGATTTCATAAGAACAAGTGAGGGAAGAGAGGAGGTGTTTTTACAGTCCTCTCGTTAGGATTACTTCTTGATTACATCTTGTTTGGACTATTGTAATAGTGCAGATGCTGCGCACTGCAGAAATAATCCAGTTTGACACCACTTTAGCTGCTATGGCTCAATTTAGGACATTGTAGTTTTGTGAAACATATATCCTTCTCTGTCAGAGAGCTCTGGTACCACAACAAACTAGCAATACCAGGTTTCCATAGGATGGAGCCATGATAGTTAAAGCATAATGTATTAATTCTGCAGTAGGGGATGTACAGGCTGGCACTTAGGCTGGCCTGGGGGTGGAGTGGGGGTGTGGTGACTGCACGCCAGCTGCCCCAATTCTGCCCTGTTGCTGCCATCATGCCACCCACCAAAGGAGACAGCAGGAGAAAAAGGCCATGTCTTTGGCACAGTGTTTAGATGCACTGTACCAAAGAAATGTCAAAAAGTTGCTGCCATCTGGAATCCAAAATGGCGCCAGTGTAGTGCACAGAGTAGTACTTTTTGCCACTCAAAAAAGGAGCAGCGTTTCACTGGTTCTTTTCAGAGTGGCAAAGCACCAGAACAGGGCTGCAGCATGCAGTTTGCTGGTGTTTGCATATAAATTTATGAAAAATCTGCATTTCTGGAAGTTAATCTGGTCTTAGTTTAGCCTCCATTGTGTAATACTAAAACAATATAAGTACCATGTATTGATGTTAGATGCATTTTGAAGTTTATGTGTGTAATTATTTGACAGATTGCAAGTGCTAATAATCACCTCACAGAGCCTTAAAGACAAGCATTATCCAGTTTATGTCTGCTTAAATGTTCCAGCACATTGGCTTGTAAAATGAAAACATATATCAACAAGGGTGGGGTATCTCTTTCAGCCCAAGGATGAAAATCAGTTTCAGATACATTCTTGGGGGCAATATTCCAATGGCTATGGATTCAAAGCAAAAAGGGTAGGGCCAAAATTGAGTCCACTTTTAGGGTTAGGGTTAGGGAATCATGAAAATTGCATTTTATTGTGGCACCAGAGCTCTCTGACAAGGAAGGCTCAATGTCTCAGAAAAACAACAACAATTCCCATGTTTCCATAGCACTAACCCTAACCCTAAAAGTGGACTCAATTTGTATTATTTCTGGCAGTCTGCAACCCCCCTAACTTACCAACTTACTAGCTTCAGACACTTCAGCTTTTTAGAATGAGAATTTTAAAAATTACTTGGGAAATGATGGAATCACAAGGAAAGGGACAATACCTCCTGGTAACTAAAGGAAACTGGAGTTAGACTCCATAAGTTCTGAATTCAGCCTGAGATCCTGAGGCTCCCCATCCCTGATACAGCACAAGATTTCCAAGACAACCGGAAGGAATAAAAAATGCACTGTTCCAGTGGCTAAGGTTCCTATAATTATACACATAGCTTGATTTTATGCATAAGACTCACTGAATATAGTGGGGAGGGTACTTTGTAGGTAAGTGTTTGTAGGGCCCTGTTCTTAGTAAACCAGACAAAATGAAACAATAGTAAGTGCAATGCAACTTGGGAGTTTATCACATGGGATGGATCCTGTGCAGAAACTGAATTTAAACTGGGAAAAAAATCTGCAAAAATGGGTAGATTTTCAGATTATGTTGGGGGTTAACCTGAACAGAAAGTTAACAAAAACCTCAAAAGTGGGTTGATTTTTACAAGATGTCAGGGTAAATGAGGATTAACGCAACATTAATCTAAACAGAAATTAGACAAAAACTGCTGCTATTTACTTTTGGAAAATCCCGAAAGTAAAAAGGAGCAGGCTTTGGTGACTTTCTGTTTGGGTTAATGTTGCATTAATGCTTATTAACACCAACGCATGAAAATCAACTTGCTTTTGTGGTCCCCCCCCCAGATTTTTAAATCCTGTTTCTGCAAGTGATTTCTGCACTTTGCTACCTGTGTGATAAACTCCAAGGAATGTGTAAGGCCATTCCATTATATTTAAGCATCATGGAATAGCTGTTCTATTCATGCTCTCCTTCTGGGTTTCTCCTGAAGTATATTGGTAGACCATTTTGGTACACAGGACTGTGTACAAAGAGGATCTTGTGTCTGATCAACAATTGCTCTTATGTTTTGAAAGAATGGTATAAATTGATTGAGAATGCAATCCAAACTGGCAGAGATGGCCAAGAGGCAGTGGAGCAGATAGCAGGCTAACTGAAGCTGTGCTGGATCCAAATTTCTTTTGGGAAGATGGGTGAAATCTTCTGTATCCATAGTTTTATTGATCTACTCTGGTCAGGGAAGAAGGAAAAGAACTAGTTTTTATGTTCATTTTCTCACTGATGTTCCATTGGGCTGTGGCTCTCACTGATAATAATGGGAGGGAAATCAACCAAGGAGTTTATCACATGGGAGAGAATCGATCAAATCCCATGAAGAAATGGGATTTAAATCCACAAAAGTGGGATCATTTTCAGATGCATGGCACATTAATCTGAAATTAACCCTCTCAGAAAGTGGACAAACCTCTCAAAGCAGGATCATTTTCAGATGCATTGAGCATTATGAGCATTAATCGAAACTTAACCCACACAGAAAGTGGACAATTCCAGCAAAAGTGGGATCATTTTCAGACACATTGGGGGCATTGAGTACTAATCCGACATTATCCCACACAGAAAATGGACAAAATCAGGTTTTTTTTTAGTTTCAGGAAAATCCTGAAAGTAAAAAGAGGCCGTTTTTGTCCACTTTCTGTGCAGATTAATGTCAGATTAATGCTCAATGCCTCTTATTTGTCTGAAAACGATCCAGCTTTTGTGGGATATTCCTGGAATTTAAATCCAGTTTCTGCACAGGATTTGGGCACTTAGTCTCTCATGTGATAACTCCATAGACAGCTGATGGCCATGTCAGTGGCTTTGCATTCAAGCTTTCAGTTGTGTGGGTCCAAAGCTACTCCCAATATACTCACCCCATTTCATGTTCTGCCAACTACAATAAATCCATGAATGCGGATTTTTTTGTGGCCATACCATAAAGGAACTAATGGACATCTACGCCAGCCAGTTTCAGGAGGAAATTGAGGTTGTTCATTTAACGTGTTAGAGCTAAACAACAAGCTGTATTCGGGCAGGCAACAGTCAAAGAAACCCTGGAAGGCCCCACTCATTATCACACCCATTGCACAGTATTTCTTTGCCTCCAAACTCTACAAATAGCCTAGATGGGCCAAAAATGTAGCAAAATTCCCTTCTGTGCTCTCTAGAAAGTTTTGGTAGGCATTTGGGGCAAAGGTTTGGGACAGAAAAACAGCCCTGGTGGGGCATGAGGACTACACATTCCCCACCCATGTGCTCTGTTGAATACTTAGTATTCAGTAGTACAGCAATAACAATCCAGAACCCTCATGCTAGCTAGAGGATTCTAGCCATTGTGGTATAATGAGAAGCTCTGTTCCAGAGTAAGTTTATGTGAGTTTGGACTGGCTAGGGACATATAGAGATAGGGTCAGGGCCGGTGCTTTCATTAAACCAACTAGCCAGCTACTGAGGGTGCAGACTTCAGAGGGGTGCAGCGCTGACTTAGAGGAAGGTACAATTTTATACAGATTAGGTTTTTTTTTAAACCATTGTTAAAAAAATGAAAGATTGTTTTTATTTTAAGATAAATGTCATAACAATGCTATGGAATATAATTAATTCCAAAGTCAAAGATTGTTGTGTTACTTATTCTTGTATTTTAAAATAAATGTAGCAATTTCAAGCTTTGTGCTTTTCATTTTTTTCTACAAGATATCTCTTTTTGAAAACTGAAGTTATCAACTTGGAGGGTGCAGGGCATGGGGAAGTAGTTAGCCTTGTGTAGGGCACAAAATAGCCAGGCGCTGGCACTGGGTAGAGTATGATTAAACTTTCCTCTGACTGCCTCTAAGGGGTTCTAAAAATGAAATCAATTACCTTTTACCATTTTTTTTTGCTCCAAAGACAAATCTATCACAGTTGAACTTTGAATGCTACTCTGCTATTGCCACTACCACTACAAGATAAAATGTTCACAGAACAATAGAACATGGAATAATCTTGTCTGACTTCAATCAGATTCCAGGAAGAAGGTAAAACACATTAATAAGTGGTTTTGTGTGCATGTATGCATGTGTGCACGCATGTGTATTCCCATTGAAAAGAATACTAATTTTAGCTACCTTCTGTTTACCATTCTTGGCACATAATTTTAACCAAAACAGCATTTTCTGAATTACCCAGGCTCTTTTCATGACAAGTGCAAACAGGAAATAATATGAGAGAGGTTTGTGTGGAAGGTTTCCTCTTGCTTCATATTTGTGGTTCATCCAGAAATACATCAACAGCAATCTTCTGAGCCTTCTCTGGCCTTGGGAAATACTTCATTGCTCATGAGCTTGGGTGGAGTGGTAGTGTATAAATCAGCATCATTTAAAAAAAAAAATCAGAACAGAATCTGGCACAAAGATTTTAAAAATCCTGGCTCCAATGTTTGCATTATTACACTGATTGGGGCTTTGTGCATGCTCTGTATAAAAAGAATGATGAAGGATTCTGCCTTATACCACTGTATGATTGTGTATGATCATTAACAGTGTAATACCATATTTGTCTACTCAGAAGTATGTCTATCTAGTTTGATAGAATGTGTAGTTCTGTACCTTGAAGTCATTTCCAAATTGACCCTAAGGTGAACCTATCATGGGGGTTTCTTTGCCAGATTTGTTCAGAGGGGCTTTGCTTTCCTCTGAGGCTGAGAGGATGTGATTTGCCCAAGGTCAGTCAGTGGATTTCCATAGCTAAGTGGGGATTTGAACCCTTGTCTCCTGGAGTATTAGTCCAACAATAAAACCCACTGTGCCACACTGGCTCTTCAGCAGAACTTATTCCCAGCTAATTGAACAGCTAGCCCAAGGAAGCTTTTTAAAAACTTAGCCAAATGTGTGAGATGCCTAAAGCAGTTAAAATTATTATTGGTTGCAGAACTATTTGTAAATACTTAAATAAAATTTTAAAGAATAAATTTCATTATTTTAAAAAATCTATATATTTTTAAAAATAAAATATTTTTAAAAAGGCCATAGTGCTATTACAAAATTGGGCTTTGCTTTTCAATAAACTTTTGTGTCTATATCAGAGTAGAAATGCACATACAATGTTTCTTGAAAGCAGCAGTAACTAGTTAAGTGCTGAGACCTTATTTAATGAATGAACAATAGAAATTATTGTTACACTGCACATTTAACTTTTACAACCACTTTGTAAGTATATTGACCAGAATACAGCAGAACCATAAAATGATGTGAATGTAAAAAAACTGCTGGTATCAAGGTATCGGTTGACCATGCATGACCACAGTCCAACATACCATTAGATGTGCACAAGATCATAAACCCATTAATTCTGTGCTAGATTGCATATTTTCTGGTTTACATGATGTCTTCATGACTGGGTCTTAGTTTGATGTGGTTCTCAGTCAAGTGCCCTTCAAAAGTCACCTCCTGGAGGCCTGACATGCTAGTGACGGCAGATAGAAACATGAGCAGCAGTGCTACAATCTGTCCCAAGTGGTTTGGAGATGTCCCATAATCCTTGTAATGATGGTACATGGGGGAGGGTGTTTCTCAGCCTCAGCCTCTGACATAGCACTCCCAGCCTCCTCATTGCAGGAATCAGAGCAATACTAAGAGTCATGGAAATGCCCATATTCCAAACTGATAAATTTTTTGGACCCCTCCATCTTTTGATGTTTGGGATTACAACTCCCCAAATCTTTATTATTGATCAGCAGAGTGTGGCTGACAGTAGCTGCAGCCCAAAAACACCTGGAGGTCTGAAGGTTCTTTACTCTTGCTAGTAACCCATAGTAGACAATTGAGATTTCAGATTATGCTGGCTCTGTAGACCTTTACACTGCAACAACTAAGCAACACAGACACACAACTGTGCATTACACTCTGAAATTCCCTGTATCTGCTGCTTCAGCACCTTTCCACAAACATAATGCTGAACTGGACAATAAGTCTGGAAATCTTTAGGATGGAGAGCAAAGCATGACTGCACCCCATCCCCAGTCTCTTTGCTTCATGCTAAATGGTACAAAATTAATGAACCACTTGTACATGGTAACACTACAGTGGGTAAACAGGAGAAAGAAATATCAACAATCTGAGATATGCAGACGACACCATAATACTAGCAGAAAACTCACAGACCTGAAACAACTACCAAAGAAGATGAAAGAAGAAAGTGCAAAGGCAGGCTTACTGTTGAACATAAA